CTCACTTGACGAGCGGGCTGAGTGTGGGCCGACGGGGAGGCGGCTCGTGAAACTCGCGCCCGCCCGCTTGGTTTGTGTACCCCTGCCGGCTGCGTGCCGGTTTATATGGTAAGGTATGCCGCCGGCCCGCTCGTCCCGGCCCTGGCTTGGCGGCGCGGGGCAGGTCTGGGGCAGGGGGCAGGGCTGGTGTAGGGCCGGGAAGGGTCTGGGGCAGGGCTTGAGTAGGGCCGTGGCAGGTCTGAGGCAGGTCTGGAGCAGGTCTGGGCCAGGGCTGTGGAAGGTCTGGGACAGGTCTGGGGCGGGGCTGGGGCGGGGCTGGTGTAGGGCCGGGGCGGGGCTGGGGCAGGAGTGGAGTAGGGCTGGTGTAGGGTTGGGCAGGGTTGGAGCAGGAATGGAGCAAATATGGAGCAGGGCTGCGGCAGGACTTGGCATGGCTGGAACGAGGCAGGGCGGGGGCAGGCGGCACAAGGGCCGCGTAAGGCAGACGAACCGACGGACACCGCTGCGCCCGAATTCACTGCAAGGCCTGCTAAAGCTGTAGGGACGTTGCCTCGTAAGAAGCGCGGGACAAAGGGGGAGTCCGCCTTACGGCTGGGTAGAAGCAGGCTTCCCTCTGCCGCAAACGTTAAACAGCACCGAGCGCCGGTCGACAAAACACGGTAGCGAGGGTCTTCGTTCGGTGGATTGGGGGCGCAGAAGTCTGCCGGTCAGGCTGGCTGGAGGCGGCGCGTTTTTGGACGCCTTTTTGTGCTGGTTTTTGCTCGTCCGCCGTTCTTGGCGGGTGGCCGGCTCGGCGCTGCCAGGAAGAAAGCTGCTGTCTTCCCATCGAAGCCCGGTTGTAGCTTTACGAGCTGCTTGGACCGCCTGATATTGATGCGCAAGCCCGCTGTTCGGAAGAACTGATCAGCCTTTTCTGTTTTGGTGTCGGCTTTTATCATCCCGTTCGCTGCGTTGGCCCCGCCTTTGCTCCGCATCGCCGGTCTCGATATTGGTCTGGCATCATGGTGGCGCAGTGCACCCTGTTCCGCTCAGCTGGGGCATAATGGTGGCGCGGCACACCCTGCTGCACCCAGCTGGGACATCATTGTGGCGCGGCGCACCCTGCTGCACCCAGCTGGGACATCATGGTGGCGCGGCACACCATGCTGCACCCAGCTGGGACATCGTCCCCGTCCCTGGAAACGTCTTATTACGCTGCGTTATGGAAGCCATCCTGGTCACGTGGTCTGGGTCATCGTTCATGTTGCTCCATCCTCTTTCAGCAACGAGTGCATTGCCTGGTAATTTGTGTTTCATTGTAATGAATCGCGAAGCGCCACGGAGCTTTGCTAAGAAGTGTGTGACACTACAAAGCCTCTAAAACTAGACTGGTGGGCTCCGCTCCTGCCGCCGAGGTCTGTTGGCGGACGGCGGGAGGCGCCTCCTCCCAGTCAGGGCACCCCCTGACAGCGACGTTCGCTCGTCGGTCAGCAGAAGTCTGCCCCTCTTCCTGTTGTTGCCGCCACGACCTTTGCCTTTGACCCCCGCCGGGTGATCGGCGAGCAGGGAGCAAACTGAACCAACGCTGGCGGGAGATTCATGTTACGGCGACGTTTTCGCCTCTCTGTTTCCCTCTCCCCCTCTCCCTCCTTCCCCCCCCCCCCCCACCTCGTCCATACACACATGCAGTGCTCCTTACGTTCCATTTGCGGGGCGCGCTCAAAGGAGAAGAGCGAGTGTCGATGTGCAGTCCAGAGCGTCCAAAAAACCTCATTATGATCATGAGAAGCATTACAAGACTTGTCATCGTCAAAGCAATGGTGTTGACCGCTGACCAGCCCCGTAAAGCTCAGTGTCTGCTCGTGTGGCCGAAGCCAGCGACAATAATGATGCTGACCACGGGAAATGTTTGTTTCCGCCGTCGACGGTGCCGATGCCTCGAAGGCCGATAACGCGGCTTGGCTCGGTTGGCTGAATGACCAAGCGCCTGTTCCACATCGTCCTGATCGGCGCCCGCAACGATAAGCGGCGGTCGCGTCTGCAACACTGCCCTCCAGCCGCTGGCGGCCCCCCCCCCCCCCTCCCCCCGCTCCAGCACCGCCCTCGCTGGGGTGCGGCCGGCGGTCCAGCTGTGCCGCGAGTCGTCGAGTGTTACAAGCGATCAGCTGGGATGAAGTACGGCGCGGTCAGGATATTTACTCTGTCTCACACAAATCTCCCTCGAGGTCTGTTCGGTGTTGGCTGTGAGAAAAGCGTTCGCGGTTAGTTGTTGGAGTGGCGGAAACGTTCCGCTGCTTTGTCGCTCGCAGTAGGAACCTTGGGAATATTGAACACACCTGGTTTGACGAAGCCTGGCGACACGCTTGTGTCAGTGATGACGTAGTGCCAAATAATTCACCCTTTCCTGTCTCTTTAAGTTTGTATTGTTTCCACGCAATTGAACATGTTTTAGTTGTTACAGCCGGGGTCTCCTCATGTGTTATTCCTCTAACTAACATATGTGCTTGCTGTCACACTGATGCAGTCATGTGCACATGTGCAGCTGGTGCAGTGGAGACAGATACGAACCATGTCACACCCAGTTTTTACGCCTGAATTTGTGCAAACGAGGTCTGGCTACACGGCCACACCCCGGGTTATCGGCCATTTCCCACGCGACTGAGCCCAGGCTGCCCACGCCCATCCCCGCCGGCGGCCCGTGGGCGGCAGCCTGGGAGGTCGGCCGTCAGCGGGGCTAAAACAGAGCCGTGGGTGTCTCCGCCGTCCCGCCACGGCAGCGACTGAGAGACCCGGGAGAGGCTGGAGGGAGAGGGCACCGCGGCCTTCTGGCGAGCGTGGCCCCGCCGTCGGGCTCGGTGTCGGCCAGGCCCGCTGTCTGTGGGGGCCTGACCCGGGGTGACTGCCGGCGCTGGGGCAGGGGAGGGGCCTAAGCCTCCGGACGGTGCTGGAAATGATCACGTCGGCGCCTGCAATAAGTAGATTATTTCATCAAGCCTCAGCTCTCACGCCCAGTGGCTTCGCCGCGAGATCGTTGAGTTTCTTGTAGGAGCTTCTTGCGCGTAATGCCACGGGCGTCACGTTTAATTTGCCAAAACTGTGTCCCCTGCACCACGCCCTGCGGCGGAGGCCTAGCGAGCAACAGTCACCGGGATCAGTGATGTCATCAATAGCGTTCAATGATGGTGTAAACCACCGTGGTTAGTGATGCCATCACTGGTGCTTTGTGATGCCACGTGAGCCTGCATGCCACGAAGCCGTGAGGCAAAACCAGCCGACAACGCTGGAGCCTGGCCCGTAATTTGTGCCGGCGGACTGTGGCCGGTCGTCGCGCTACCTGCCGCGCACGTCACCAGAGGGCCACCGACGCCCTGCGTCTGCTGCCAATCTCCCGTTCGCCGTTCGCGCGCCTGGCGGCGGCTACGGCTTTTGGTGGGTACTGGCGAGCCTGTGGGACCCAGGTCAGAGCCGCCACTACTCGGCTTGTCTTTGCGACGCAGCTGCCACCTGGGTCATATGGATCATATGGTCTAACCCCTGGACGGGTATTTAAAAAGGTTATGGGAGCGGGAAAGTTCGGATTTTCCTCCAAGTACAGATATTGCGATCAGATGTTTCAGATGTTGTTATGCATGTATGCGTTTTATCTTTTGGTGATTTGGGTGGAATATGGATGGGCCCGAGACAACCATTGGTGTGTGCGAGGGATGAGGTGGGAGGGGCTCCAAAGAGACACAACCTCCGCCCGTGATCCGCCACGACCCCCGACCATCACCGAGCGACCTAGCGGGACGTTTTCCTCCCCACCTCTGCCCTCCGAGGTTGCGTTATGATTTCTCTCGGCCGGGAAGTGGAGCGTTGTTGTTGCCGTCCATGTTGCCGCGCGAGGCATCGGACCGGCTCAGTTGCCACGCCGGGTTTGCAGCTGCTCCACAAGGCAAACCAGTGCGGCAAACCGGCTGTCGGTGTAAAAAATAGATCGGTTGGACCACTGTTTGCAAGGAACTGACGAGAGCTTAGTTACGGTATGCATCCGGCCTTTTATATTCCAGGAAGAGAGGTGACTTGCAGTCAGTGGGTTTGTCTGCGTTAGCTTTCGTTCGTTCTTATCAACCGGAGGTTTACAATTGTGCTGCAGTAGGCGCACCTGTCGAGAATATCGCTGTAAATGCATGGTACTAGAGCGGAATGTTTTGAATGAAGACTAGTCCTGGGCTGCGGCCTGTGGCTTCTGATCACGCCCACCAGTCCTGACCTTTCTCACGGCTCGGCCGCATGCCAGAGGTGATTCACGAGTCGGGAGTCACGACCGGCCGGCCGACTCGGACCCGTCGGCCCGGGCCGTGACTTGCCGCAACTCTCGCAGCTCTCACCCACCGCAGCGCAGCTCCGGCCCATCACCTCCGAGTTACCACTCCCGCTTCCCGGCGCTGGTTGTGCGAGTCCGACAGCCTGGCACGCTCGGAACCTCAACTGGGGACGGCAAGATTTGGGCTGGTAATCCAATGAAACTTTTTATTTAAGTTTTTATTTTTGTCACTCCTTATCGCAGTTGCAGTGACGGAACACACAATTACCGGGGTAGGAACGCAAACCATTGTCGTAACGGAGGCCCGCCTGCCATACCAATGCGAGCTAAGCCCGGCAGCAGGTGGGGGACACCCTGGATATTGCTGTGATGGCGGGTAAGAAGTATCGAAAGGTGCCACGCAAAACATGAATGAAATTTTTGTGTGCCTTTTTCTGCGCGTCGGTATTGCCACTATGCGCATGCATCACTGCCACACACCTGTGACCCCTGTAACTTCTGTAACGTGTCGGCACCGGTTTAGGAGCACTGCGTAGTACTACGTTTCAGAGCATATTTTGTGTTGCCCCGTCACAGCGAAGCTGTTCAGCTGCGACCTGCAGACGACCCGTTAACACCCGCGCAGCACGGTGTCCGTCCGTGACCTCCAAGCGCCCCGCTCACCTCTGTGACCTCTGAGTGCGTCCGTCTGACATGTGTGACCTCTGCCCGGCAGACCGGCGTCAGCTGGAGGCGGCGCAGAAGGCACACAACCTGACCGAGACGCTGGTGCAGCTGGGCGTGCGTGACTGGCCGTCGCTGGTGCGCCACCACCTGGGCTTCGCCGTGCTGACCGCCGTCGGCCTGCTGCTGGTCCTCATCACGCCGCTGGCCGGTCAGTGCGACACCTGGGGTGGGGCGGACTGAGGGGAGGAAGGATGGGGACGCTGGTGTGCGTACTGTGGGATGCGTTGTCCGGAGCTGGACACGGCCTACACCCACGCGCCGACTCCACGGTCGTCGGTGCTGGTGTGGAAAGGGCCACCAGGCCTGGTGACACGGTTCATCGCGACAAAGAATGGATGTGCGTCTTTTGGGGACGACTAGCCATGCCGGTGAGTTCGCATGTGTTGGTTTCAGCGGCAAGCGGTGGCCAAGCGTGTGTGGGCTGACAGTCGACATTGGGACCGGGTCTGGGCCATTCAGCTGATTCCATCCATCGTTCAGTGGTCACGAATACTGCATGAAGAAACAAACAAATTGTACGAAAACAATAATGTGACCTCGCTCTCTGATTTGATGAATTTGAAGGACCTTGCTTTGAAAATTGATAGGGTGCGTACGTCGAGCAGTGGGGGATTTATTATAAGTATGGGTGGCCCTATGGCGGATGCTGTTCGTCTTCTGCCTCCGGCGTCGCGTATGAAGCCGTATCACATCTGGTTGCCATGGCGCCCGGACCCGGTCCGTCCCTCCGGTAACAAGGGGCTCAGCTCCGATAACCAGGGGCTGAGCTGGGCAGAGGGAGACGTCAGCTATGAATGCTGGAGGCACAGGGGAGTGCTTATCGCTGAGGAACGGCGAGCCTGTGGCAGATCGCGCTGTGGGGGACACAATACAGAGGCACGTGCGAATGGACCGGATGGTGCTGGCGACGGCAGTGTCCACCGTGGGCGCGCTTTTGACGACAGTTGGACGTGCGCCGAGGGCGCCTGGACTGTTGAGCGTTGAGCTTAGCTGTTGTATTTCCCTTTCCTTTCATCACATCCATTTCGTTTGTCATATTATCTTGGTTTCGTTTTGTTGTGCGCATGATTTGCTGCACTTCTCTACCACGGCCAAATCGAAAAACGAACCCCCACCCCTGTGTACCAAGAGGAAAGGAGTTAGGACCGTCCGAGATGCGACCGTCTATGGTACAGCATAACCGTTATGAATGTTTTGAACTATGCATGAGCCATGCAGTGGGCTGGTTTATGTAAGTCAGATCGGTCTTCACCAGATCAAGCAATCCTAAACGTCTGGGCGGACAGAGTGAGCCCGAGAGCTCAGATCATGACATCAGTTCTGCATAATCCGCAAGGAAAAATGGTCATTTCCTGTCAGATAGAGCGGCCTTAACGGACGCTGATACCAAGGGCGTCACAGAGTCCTGGCCATCCGAGAACTCCCCCCCCCCCCCCCCCCCCCGCCCATCTGTCTGGCTGGGCGGACCGGTTGGCGCGTCGCCCCCCGTGACCTCTTGAGCTCGCCCCGGGCTACTCTGATGAGGTTCCGGCTAGGAGGCCGGCCGGTACGGGCCCCGATCAAAGACGAGCTATGCGCGACGCTCCACTTCAGAGCGAGGCTGAAGGACGAGCCCGGACGCGACCGGGACCACAGCGAGAGCGAGGCTCGGGTGAGAGCGAGGCCCGGAGAGAGAGCGAGACCCGGAGCGAGAGCGAGGCTCGGGGCGAGAGCGAGGCCTGGAGCAAGAGCGAGACCCGGGGCCAGAGTGAGACCCGGGGCGAAAGTGAGGCCCGGAGTGAGAGTGAGGCCCGGAGCGAGAGCAAGGCCCGGGGCCAGAGCGAGACCCGGGGCGAGAGCGAGGCCCAGAGCGAAAGCGAGGTAGCGCGGGACTGGCGGCAGCCGAGAGCGTCTGGTGCAGCGCTCCGGTTGGGCCGCGCACCGTTGTCAACCTGTTGTGCTGAAGTGGCAGTTCGTGCTGTTGCGGGTGGTTGATTGTGCTGTCCACATGCCCCGGGGATAAGATCGGTGGTCGCATCGGCGCCGATCGAACGCTACATTCTGAACTCCACGTAAACGGAAGGCCTCCGCCGTTCGGTTGGCAGATATCAACAGTTTTCTTATGCATGTTTGTTGAAGATGACGTCGACTGTTGCGGATGCTTTTGGTCTAAATGACGGAAGACAGATCACAGAGGCGATCAATGGGGAAGGGCGTCATATATATATATATATATATATATATATATATATATATATATATATATATATATATATATATACCACGCCACCCACAACATGATCATCACATGTAGATACCGGCGACCCTGGAAAAGAATTGTTATATTTCATTTCGACCAAGTATCAATCAAATCGCGTGTTTCGCTTTATTGTTAAGTCTCCAGAAGGCAGTACCGTATCGATAATGCTTCTTGGCTAAAAGTCGCATCAGAGTGAGTGCTACCAGTCACGTTACCGTTGCGTGTTCGCCGGTCGAAAATTTCACTTTCGTCATGAACCGAACCATGGCGGCATTCGGAGCTCGTGCCACAGGTTTTTGTTTGGATAGGCCGGCATCAACAGCAGCTCCGTGTGGATGCTTGGGTTATTTGTCCGACCCAGATGGCTTGGTCCGAGTGGCGTTGATAGCCAGGTGATGTTCCTGAAAGGGATTCAAGAAGGGAGCTCGTCTGAAATGGATTCTAGAAGGGAGCTCGATGATGCAGATTTCCCATCGTCAGATGAAAACGTCCAAAATGTTTCATTACTACACCGTGGTAAAGGCAGTAGGAGAAGAGTTGTAATGCGTTTCACGTTGGCAAGGTCTTGTTCCTCCCTGAGGTCATGAAATGACTGTCGACATATCTCATACACTTTCAGGCGACAATTTGTGGTAATCGCACCTGCTCGGTTGTGCAGTTGTCTGGATGCACTGCGTAGCGCTAAAAACCTATTTTTTGGCCAGCCTTCCTCATTGGTGTTCCAGTCTGGAATGCATTTATTCGCGGCTCGTTTTGCAATGGTGACCTCTAGTTGACATTTGTGCTTTAACGCGAAAATCTGGTTCTGGCCTCGTGACGTTGATGAATCTGGGGACGTGGTTTGGATGACAGGCACCTCAAGCATGGTCGCGGCCTGCTAGATGGGGTGCTTTAAGCGCTCGACTGTGAGATTTAAGCGTGATTTAGAGGGACGGATGATGCATTTCTGCCTGTCACACTGCCTAAATGGCAGCTTCCATGACCGATGAGACACGTGTGGCGACAAAATGTGTGCTGAACTGCCTGACCCAGGTATATATCTCCAACTCAGACTGTGCGGTGCCACACTGCCGGTGCAGGGCTGGCCGACCTGTGGCTGACCCAAGGTCGGGCTGTGTGACGCCACACTGCCGGCGCAGGGCTGGCCTGCAGGGCAGGGCTGGCTGGTAGCTGACTTAAGACGCCGTGACCCGAGTCGACCGCTCGACTGACTTCCGCCATCACCAGCGCTGGTGCTCTGCTGCTGTCGGCACGGTATTGACTGATGTTTGGCTGACCTTGGCCCATTTCTCCCCCAGGGCTGGTGGTCTGCTGCTGCCGATGTGCCGGTAAATGCGGCGGCGGCTCGGATGTATACGAGAAGAAGCGGGACAAATGTCGCCGCATATGTTACGGAGTCTTCCTCAGTTTTCTAGTTGTGCTGGTGCTGTAAGTATGCGAGCGGCCGTGGCGCTTACTCTCCGATAGTTTCGCTGCTGGGTGGAATTCGGACCGTCGCGTGCACCGACTGTCTTGATCAATCCCCCTGTTAATATCATTCGGTTCGCTGCGTTGGACTCTCGGCTTTGATTGGACGCTCGTGGTCCAGCGGATAACAAGATTGAAAACAAATTTACTCGGGCGAAGTGCGAGAAGGCTTACAGTTTTTGCACCAACATCTGAATCGTTTGAAGCAAGATTTGTGGTCCAAAATTGTTACCAGCTTCTGTCCGTATTGGCAGGTTTTAGAGATCGTTTTCCTGATTACTAGCTTGTTGATCTTTGTGGCCATTGTCGTGATGCATTCAGCTCGCTGATGTATTACTTTTTGCGTTTGTATTGATAATTATACACAGAAAATTGAGATGTTTTGTACGCTAGCATGGGAATCAGGCTCCTTGCCGAGCATAACAAACTGGAGATCCTCCTGACAGCACCGTTGCAGGAGTGCAGTGCCAGTTCAACCGACAATTTTGCAGGCAGACCTGAATGTGCAATTTAATGTCACAATGTGGCTAGTGCGACTTCACGCCACCTGACCAGTGACCGGTCGCCACTGGAAGGTCACGGACGGGGCGGGATTTCTCGGCTGGAACCTTCACGTCTGTCACGCTTCGGCCGGAGTCTAAAATTCACTAGCAGCTGAGCTACGGCCACGAATTTGTTCATTATTTCGACCAAGCCAGTCATAGGAATGTAAACATATGGCTGCAGATTTCGTCTCGCTTATTCCTCTTATTTTGTGCGATATTTTCGTTTTCAGTGAGAACGTGGCTCACGCATAATTTTACCATAGGCAAGGGGCATAAATCAAAGAGGATCCTTGAACACCGAATTAAGCCCGCTGCAGGATCGCTCAATACGTCGCGTGGCGTAAAACAGCATCTCTTGTTCTCGGATCACCCTATATTCACTTGTTCATTTAAAATTTTACATATTACATCACACCTTGCATATTCATTGTCACCTATGTATCAATAAATACCGTACAGTCGGTAAGAGAGTGGCATTAGTCCCCGAGGTAACTACCTTGTGTGTACGTCCCCCAAGTGTGAACAGCACGCATGGTGAGCGCCGTAAGCCCAACATGTTGAAACTCAGTTTCAGAAACACCTTCCCATCCACCCTGATCGTTTTTCGCGTGTTGTGAAGTCATGTGTGGCCAGAGTGGTTGGTGCGATCACAGATACTTTTGTGACAGCTGGTTGGTTTCGAAATCAGTGTTTGTACGTACATACGCTTAACATACGCGTGCACCAGCTCCTGATGAGGGCAATGCACATCACTGACGAGTTAATCTCACACCGTGTCGCCAGGTTTGGCCTGGTGGCGTCGTTTGTCGTCAACGAGTACGTGGAGAAGGGCGTGAAGCAGGTGCCTGCTCGCCTGCACGTGGCCGTTGACGACTCCCAGCTGTTCGTCAAGAACACCCGGAAGGTAGGAGAGCGTGCGCGGCGGACGCTCGTCAACGGTGGGCACACAGGCTTAGACGACGGGGTGAGCAGGCGGATGGAAACAGAGAGAGGCACAGGTGGATTATGAAGTGAACAAAAGAAACCCCATCCCTATGTTTTGTTTGGTTCGAGTTAAGCGGTTGTGTACCGAACGAAATCTAGCGCAAACGCTTCCCGCCGCCAAAAACTTCGGAGCATGGCTTTCTTGCCACTGGTTCGTGTTTTTGAGCGTAGAGCTGAGCATTAGCCAGATCATGTAGTAACCGCCAGGCGGATTTGTCTTTTGGTTCGAAGACTGCTTATAGCCGCGTTCATGTTTTTTATTAAGTGACAAAGCTTCTGCAGTGCACAGTGAAGAATCTGAGGACAGAATCGAGCCCATCAATGTGGGGAGGCCATCGGTGTTCTGTCTAAAGTATGCTTTGTGTACCTTGCTAAGGGTCATAATCAGCAGCTGATCCTTGGGATGTGCGCCTTTGTCTGTACCCCTAACAAGCTACCATCCTAGTCATATGCGTTGAAAGGACTGATTGGTCTCGCATGATCAGTAATGGTGGAAACATGTCATTGGACCTTGGCACAGAAATCGTTGTGCACGTTGCAGAAGACCCGTTGGATCTGTTCTGTGAAAACACTGGGCTAAATTTATTCGTGTAAACATTTGAGATTCGGTGCCCTACTTACAAGGTACGGTGTCATATAGAGAAAAACAGCGCAAAGCAAGAAAGCAAATGAACAGTGCATTGAATGTCGGGAAATTATAGGCGTAATTCATTGTTAAGGCGTAATTCATTGTTAAAGTTCGCGGGCCCGACAACAGATTGTCGCTGCGGCAGTGGCTTCTAGCCTGGGTGACCAGAAGCTGAGCCTGGGCCGCCGCGGTCGCCTCACTCCGAGCTGCCGTCCCGTGACCGCGCGCGCGCCGTGTGGTGGTGGCAGTGCCTTGGCGGGTGGCCAGCCGCCGCTCGGGCCGGCTCGGACGCTATACTGGGCGGCGTTTGCTGGCGCATACGACCGCCGCCGTAGTGTTTCGCCGCGTACAGGTCCCGCCGCGGCGCCGTGCAGTCGCGGCTGCGACCCGGCCGCCTCTGCGCCGTGCAGTCGCGGCTGCGACCCGCGCGGCCGCCTCTGCGCCGTGCAGTCGCGGCTGCGACCCGCGCGGCCGCCTCTGCGCCACCAGAAACTTGTCGCGGCCCTCGTGACGGCGCTATGCATGGTAGCGCAACGTGGCCCGCTCGTCTCGTGATTACACCCCGAGTTTTGACGCCCATTGTCCGCCTGGCGTGGTCCCGTCCGGCTCATGCAGTCGTCGTGTGGCTGGGCGCAGCTCGGTGGCGTGCAGGATCGGCGCCAGGGTTGGGTCCTAGCCGGCGGCGCTCGCGGCCGGCTCGCTCCCGCGTGTTTCGGCGTCTGGCGCCGGTCCGAGTCGGTGCGTGCGAACCGGTCGGCGGTCGGGCGCCGGAAGCGAGCGGCATCGATCTGCGCCAGTATTGCCGTCCGTGCGTCGGAATTGGCCACTGTGCGCCGCTTGATCAATGGTGGACAAGCCGGCATCCCGGGCTGTGTGGGCTTCCCCGGTCCTCTGCTGCCGATGGCCGACCGATGATGGTCATTGGTTACCATTTGCTGACACTGGGCACCGGCCACCAGTTCAGCTGACACTGGGCACCGGTCACCAGTCCAGCTGACACTGTGCACCGGTCACCAGTCCAGCTGACACTGGGCACCGGCCACCAGTTCAGCTGACACTGGGCACCGGTCGCCAGTCCAGCTGACACTGGGTACCGGTCACCAGTCCAGCTGACACTGGGTACCGGTCGCCAGTCCAGCTGACACTGGGTACCGGTCACCAGTCCAGCTGACACTGGGTACCGGTCGCCAGTCCAGCTGACACTGGGTACCGGTCACCAGTCCAGCTGACACTGGGTACCGGTCGCCAGTCCAGCTGACACTGGGTACCGGTCACCAGTCCAGCTGACACTGGGTACCGGTCGCCAGTCCAGCTGACACCGGACGCTTAGTCGGTGGAGGTAATCGGGAGACGTTAATCCGCGTGCGGAGCTGGACATGCAAAGGCACGAACATCTGAACATCCATAATGCGGCTGTGATGTAAACGATTCGATATGTTCGGTTTTTTTGACGTGATACGGTTTGCGTGTCGAGCATCACTAAGGCGTCTCACCTGTTCTGATATGTCATATATGCCCAGCATTGTGCGTCTCCTATGACAGATCGTAACGCTGGGTACTGCGGCCAATAGATCGTTTATACGACCCCAGGCGTTGGTTACCAGTCATAGTTCCTCTTGACTCTGAAATCGCCGACAGTTAATTTGCAAACCTGTGTTTGGTCGGCGCGCCATGCTCCTGACTCATAGCACCCGTTGATCACTCCACGTGTCATGCCTTGCCCGTGAGCTGAGCCCCTGCTGTAGGTGTCCAGCATCCTAGCACAGCGCTTGACCGCCAACCGACTCAGTCACCGGCGTCGTCCGGGGCTCAGTTCAGTCTCAGTCACCCGTATGGTCCATGGCTCAGTTCAGTCTGTCACGCGTGTCGTTTGTGTTTCGGTGCAGTCTCAGTCCCGGCGTCGTCCGGGGCTCAGTTCAGTCTCAGTCCCGGCGTCGTCCGAGGCTCAGTTCAGTAACTCACGGTGCCGAAAGCACGTCGTTTAGCTAACCGTTTGTGACGTCTGTACGAGACGGTAAGGGGTCCACTCCAGCCCATCCACCAATGCGGGACGGGTCTTTGTGTTACACATTGTTTGTGTCCACTGGAGGTGAGCCAGCCGCTCACATTGTGTGTCTGTCTATGTCGGCAGGAGGTGAACCACCTGCTGGTGGACAACTACCGCGAGCTGCAGGGGGTGCTGGACGAGTCGCTGGACAGTGAGTGCCTGCAGACTAGCACCCGTCACGGCGGCCGATGGACGCTCAAAGCGGCCGGCGTGCGGTGCTGGGGCTGGAGCTGGGAGGACATGCGGTGCTGGGGCTGGGGCTGGGGCTGGGGCTCAGGCTGGGGCTGGGAGGACATGCGGTGCTGGGGATGGGACTGGGGATGGGGCTGGATCTGGATCTGGAGCTGGAGCTGGAGCTGGAGCTGGAGCTGGAGCTGGAGCTGGAGCTAGAGATGGAGCTGGGCTGGGGCTGGGGCTGGGGCTGGGGCTGGAGCTGGGGCTGGAGCTGGAGCTGGAGCTGGAGATGGGGCTGGAGCTGGAGCTGAGCTGGGGCTGGAGCTGGGGCTGGGGCTGGAGCCGGGGCTGGAGCTGGGCTGGGGCTGGGACTGGGGCTGGGGCTGGGCTGGGCTGGGCTGGGGCTGGGGCTGGAGCTGGGAGGACATGCGGTGCTGGGTGGTAGGACGTGAGGTGCTAGGCTGGTAGGACGTGAAGTTTTTGGGGCTGGGAGGGTGTGAGGTTTTGGGCTGGTAGGACGTGAGGTATTGGGGCTGGAAGGACGCGAGGGGCTGGGGATGGGAGAACGTAAGGGACTGGGGCTGTGAGGACATGTGGTGATGGGGCTGGGAGGACATGCGTTGCTGGAGCTGGGAGCATGTGCGGTGCTGGGGCTGGGGGGACTTGTTCAGGGTCTGCGAGCGTTGTCGGTCGTAGTCACACCATTCCAGCGCTTCGGTGTGAAGCAGATTGCACACAGTCTGACGTTAAACTTGAAGGCGTCATGTTTCCCACCAAGAACGTCGTGTGCGGTGATGATTCGCCATTAGCGGAGGGCGCGGGTGTTGACCTCCACAGACTGATGGCTCCCGCGTCGTGAGCGTTTGCCGTCTGTATGTGTGCCGCGCATTACGCCTGCCCCGCCAGGCGCCGCTTTCACCGCGGTCTGGCTCCGTGACCCCAGTGTGCACCGGCTGGCGGTTCTGGTCGCCGACGGCAGCCGCGCTGACCACTGTGCGCTCGCCCGGCAGAGTGCGGTGACCGGGTCAAGGCCAAGCTGGCCAACATCTCTCGTGCCGTAGCCGTGGACGACCTAGCCGCCATCGCCGAGGGCCTGCGGGACATACGGCGAGATCTGAACGTGCGTGAGCCCCACTTGCCTTCCCGGCCGCGTTTGTCGTACTTTGTTGTACTGGTTTGCCTTTCCTTGTGACTGCCGAAAAATTATGTCATAGCGTATGTATCGTGGAATTGAATTTCCCATGCGTGCATAGTAGCGATCACTGTGCACGGTTCTGTGCGGCTGGACACAGTCTCGGTGATCGCACTCCAACCGTGAGCTGTATTTCCCTCAGAAAACCTACGTAGTACGGTGTGCCCACGCTCTTACATAACATCGCGGCGTAGTGCGAGCCCAGCGCACGCCGTCCGCGACCAGCCACCAGCGCCTGCGCTTCCCCGCGCTGCTCCGCGTCTGCCTGACCCGCCTGACCCTGTCCGCGACCAGCCACCAGCGCCTGCGCTTCCCCGCGCTGCTCCGCGTCCGCCTGACCCGCCTGACCCCGGCCGGCCGGTCTCTGCCGCAGGCGATCGCCGACCAGACCCAGCAGCTGCAGGGTGCGGGCCGACCAGCTGACGGTGGCCTACAGGGTGTGCAGGCTGAGCTGTCCAGCCTGCTGCTGCTGTTGCAGCTCGCCCGCCTGCCAGCAGCTGGAGCGCCAGTACAACCTCTCCCAACTGGCCGTGCAGAACGAGTTCAGACAGGTGAGGGGAGAGAGAGTGGGGTACTGAGCGGACAAGGGACTGTGCCAATGGAGGGACTCGGAGGCGGCTGCAAAGAAGGAGCAAACGGAAACGAAGGCAGGGACAAGTGCAGATAACGAAGGGGACTCGGAGACGGGTGCAAAGGGAGTGGGAGGCGATAATTTTACAAAAAGAGGGGGAAAGGGTGGAGACTTTGATAAATGCAGGAGCAGAGTAGGCACTGGACACGGAAATAGACACTGAAGAACAAACACCCTTAGTTTGTCAAGGACTCACAGGAAACGCAGATGGTGTGTGCGGAGGGATGGGAGACGAAGACAGACGGACGGGGGGTAGCAAGAGGATGTAGGAATGTGTTTCAGGATGGGAGCAGTTACAAACGGCGCTAAGATAATTGCAGAGATGATGAGCACGCGGAGCACAAGGAAGTAGGAAGGCAGGAACAGGGGTGCGAGAAACTGGATACACAGGTGGCTTGGAGACGATTGGTCGAGAGAACATGATAAACGGCACAGAGGCGTCTCAATAGAAGAAGATAGAAATGTCTGGGTTCGGGGGGAGACTCTCGGAGAGTGACAAGCAAAGGGAGCTGACAGGTGAAGGCTCGTGTCTTGTGGTGTACGATGGGGACAGTATTGGCGATATTATGCCCGGACGTTTGAATCTCCAAGGGCGTTTTGTTTGCCGGTCGTGAGCTTCGTCTCTTTTCTCTTCTGTGGGCGATTTCTGCTGATCTTAAACCTTCGCACATGCTCCTTCAATCCTGCACTTGTTTCATGTACCTTCAAGTACCCCTTCTGTGCTTTCAATTTTGGTCTGTCTTTTCCTACCGTCCACATGTCGGGCAGCCGTCGCTCTCAGACTGTCGACTGCTGATCTAACTCATATGCGTGGAAATAACAGCGCCTTCCTGCGGTCGCCGAGGGCCTTCCTCATCCCCCAACTAACCACCGCTCGGCCATGTTTCCAGTGGCTTGCTTACGACCTGCTGCCGAAGGTAACGTACTAACATCGCTTTATGGGCCGGTTGCACGAAAGTCACATGGTGCCATAAGTCACGCCCACCGTTACTGAGAACTAGCACGGCGTATTCCTGCACGGCGGTCCGCGCGCCCAGAAGCTGTGTAGTTTCGCGTGCCCACGAGCCACAACAGGCACGCTGAGTCAGACTCGAGACGCGCATGCTCATTAGCCGTAGTAGTGCGCCGCCGGCCGCTGTAGCCGCTCGTTCCTACTCGCGAGTCGTCAGAGTCACGCCTGGCCAGGCACCGCGGTTGAGCACGTTAACACGTCCGGTCACGCACCGTATCCGCGAGTCACTGTGGACGCGGAAGTCAGGCGTGCCCGGCCTGGAGCTGAACTTTGTTGGAGCTCGTCAGATACGGCTGCCTCGCTCTGCGGTCCAAGCGTCGCTTGTCCGTGGGGTACAGCGTGTAGTCCTCTGCGGCCCGAACGTCGCTTGTCCGTGGGGTACAGCGTGTAGTCCTCTGCGGTCCGAGCGTCGCTTGTCTGTGGGGTACAGCGTGTAGTCCTCTGCGGTCCAAGCGTCGCTTGTCCGTGGGGTACAGCGTGTAGTCCTCTGCGGCCCGAACGTCGCTTGTCTGTGGGGTACAGCGTGTAGTCCTCTGCGGTCCGAGCGTCGCTTGTCTGTGGGGTACAGCGTGTAGTCCTCTGCGGTCCAAGCGTCGCTTGTCCGTGGGGTACAGCGTGTAGTCCTCTGCGGCCCGAACGTCGCTTGTCTGTGGGGTACAGCGTGTAGTCCTCTGCGGTCCGAGCGTCGCTTGTCCGTGGGGTACAGCGTCCAAGCGTCGCTTGTCCGTGGGGTACAGCGTCCAAGCGTCGCTTGTCCGTGGGGTACAGCGTGTAGTCCTCTGCGGCCCGAACGTCGCTTGTCCGTGGGGTACAGCGTGTAGTCCTCTGCGGCCCGAACGTCGCTTGTCCGTGGGGTACAGCGTCCAAGCGTCGCTTGTCCGTGGGGTACAGCGTGTAGTCCTCTGCGGCCCGAACGTCGCTTGTCCGTGGGGTACAGCGTGTAGTCCTCTGCGGCCCGAACGTCGCTTGTCCGTGGGGTACAGCGTGTAGTCCTCTGCGGCCCGACGTCGCTTGTCCGTGGGGTACAGCGTCCAGCGTCGCTTGTCCGTGGGGTACAGCGTGTAGTCCTCTGCGGCCCGAGCGTCGCTTGTCCGTGGGGTACAGCGTGTAGTCCTCTGCGGCCCGAGCGTCGCTTGTCCGGGGTACAGCGTGTAGTCCTCTGCGGCCCGAACGTCGCTTGTCTGTGGGGTACAGCGTCCAAGCGTCGCTTTTGCGGTCCAAGCGTCGCTTGTCTGAAGACTACAGTGTACAGTCCTCCGCGGTCCAGGCGTCGCTGTCTGAAGAGAACAGTGTACAGTTCTCAGCGGTTCAGGCAGACACTGATTTGCACGGGTGGACCGGCTCGACCCTGTGGTCATACGTGTGCTCGATTTTCAAGCGGTCTCACAGACATGCAGGCACTTGAGCTCACTTTATCCATGTTTGTGTTGGTGATTGGCATGTGCTCTCTTCCAGTGTATGTCGACGTTGAGTCCCGAATGTCATGTCCTCTGTGGTAACAGCTTTCCTCCTGAGTTCTATAGTAGGTACCATCTTTGAAATGCACATTTAGTTCAATCAGGGGATATGTTCTTTCAGATGCAAGTGATTAAGCATGGCGTTTTCTTACATAGCGGTGATGAATTGCATGAGGCTTGATTTTCCTTGCGTTATTATCATTAAGTTTGGCACCAGTCTGCTAGGATCCGGCAGTTGTGTGGTCATGTGCCGTGATTGGCCTGCGTGCGGTCTGCCACGGTGCTGGTGGATCAGTGTCTGGAGCGCGCTCCGTCCATCAGCACCTGCGCCATGTGCCAGTGTTTCACGGTGTGAGAGGCCTGGATGTCTTGGTGATTTCGCCTGAGACGCTCCGAGGACTAGCTGACCTGCTGGTCGTGGACATTGGAGGCGTGCATGCCTTGTTTGAACCTCGGTGTCTATAGGTACCGTGGCTCTTTATATCTGTGTGACGTTGCATGAATTTCGTCCGCCAAAAGCAGATGGGTTCAACTAAAGTTGCATTCGATTTCAGGTCATAATGCTGCTTGCACGTGCCTGGTGTATAAGCTACCTGGTGCACAAACTAATGCCCCCATCATTCCAACCCAATGCTCATAGCTGTCATTACCTTGTCTTGTAACAAACATAGGACTGGCTCGCTGGCGCCAGACTGCTGACCGGCGGTGACCTGACCTGCAAGATAGCGGACCTGGCCTGTGTCCGGTGCCTGTACAAATCTTCCACTGGCACCTCGCTGCGACCCATTGACCTGGCCCAAGCCGGACACAATCTCATTCATCTGTCACAGCTACTGTGCCTCGCCCCCGCCTGCTTGGTCTTCAGCTTATGGAGGCTTTGGCTGGGTCATGACCTGATCCTGACCTTAACGTAGTGGGGCCTCAATGGCTTGCTGCTGGCCCGATCCCTGCACTACAGCTGGCTGGCCGATCTCGGCATGACAGACTCTATAGCTGACCCGACCTGTGTTCAATGTAACTTCCCGTGGCACGTGGTGACCTGGCGTAACGTGGCCTGAGTGCTACCTGACCTGACCTGGCCTGACTTTTGCGCTGCAGTTGCCGGACGGTCACAAGAACGGCTCGCGAGATTTCCTCGCTGATCGAGAACGGCATCGAGCGAGAGGTGCGTGCAGGCAAACGGTCGTTCGACGAGCTGTCGGGCCGCATTCAGGCGGAGGGTGGCGGCCGTCGTGCCAGAAGTGCGTCGCAGGATTGCCCAGGCCGGTTGAGTTATGGACAGCTATTGCGGTTGCCTGACGTGTAGGCTAAAATGGCCGCCACGCTGCATGTGCTGTCTGTGGCAAATGGCTTCAGTGGTCGTCATCACGACTACGGCCTCAATCAGTGGTTATGTGTGTGGGGGTCGACGGTTTGTATTATGGGCAGCTACTGCATCTGTTTGACGTTAAGAGTCGCAATGATATAATTATTGTCTAGTTCAGAAGCACTTACCAGGCAAATGACGGGACAGCTATTGCCCCCGCCCATTATCATATCTGAGTAAGAGCCCACTCATTAAATCATTGGCTCTTTCCGTGGAGCCATAAAGATCCTGTATCATTGTCGTCAGTGCGTTTTATTCTGGGAGTGCGGTCATCAATCCACTGCATTTCTTGGAAATACAATAAAGGCCTTTCGCAGAATTTCGCTACAGCTCATGTGGTTAGAGCGTCAGACCTATTGTGTGACTTCCAGGGCGAATCAACAGTTTGAGTCTGCATCCGTGTTAGAAATAGCGCGTACGTGGCTAGTCAAAAGACTGGCAACTGGTCAGAACACCGGGCTGCCCCACCATGATTGTACTGTGGCGCTGAAAGGCACGTCAAAGACCCTTTGGTACTTAAAGCTGTCCCGAAGTATGCGACAAAAACTTGCAGGCAAAATTTTAATATCTTAGCTGGGAAGGTGAGACCATGTTGTCTCTTCAGATAAGCTTAGCATAGATTGCAAAACGATGCGGGCGCTTTTAGTTCATAGAAACGACGAACGCCATACATGATATACAAGAAAACCGGGTAATACAGTGAGTAACTGTTCGCTGCGCTTTTCCGACATATGTTGATGGTAGCTGAACATAACCATTAAGCGCATCAAGCATCTCTTTTATAGGGTATCGCGACTTTCCTGCCGTCAGGGTTGTTACAACAACCATCTGATAACAAAGCATGTGTGTTGGCATTTTACCACATATCGAATGCACAAATTAAGTTTGCGAGTGCGGATAACGACTGACCGGTAAACACACAGCAACCATCCGTTTCGCTCCTCGAGCAGACTTCGTTCCTCTGCCTCCGAATTTCCGAGCATCATTCCTGAGCTCAACTTTTTCGAACTGTGTCAATGAGAGCCTGCGAGATTGCAGCTCTGAGAAGGAGGTCTGGCCTCTCCATCGATCCGACTTGTTTTGGTGCTGCAGCGGCGGTGTGCCAGGCCACGGGCGCGACCATCGTCGACCCCGGGGGCAGGCTCAGGCGGGCCGGGCGGCTTCTTCGTTGTTATTCGGCAGCGGAACTGCGACAAAAGGGCTTTGTCAGCGAAGGCGCGGGGCTGGGCTTGAGGCGCGACCCGTGCGAGCGCCGTCGTAACGAGCACCAGCCTGTGAATCGTACTGTGGCGGCCATAACGTGAAAACGCCTTTAAGAAGGACATTGCTGACTCTGCGTAGTCTTTCAACTATACTCTTGCCGTATGCGTTATGGCGGCGCCCAACGACTTTGTACGGCGACTGAGTACCTGAAACCCTTTCTGATGACTCTTTGACGTCTTGACGGTGTGTCTGACGACATGACGTCGTGTCTGACGTAACGACGCTTGTGTGGCGGACTTGACGCCGTGTCTGACGTTTTGACGCCGCGTCCGACGTCTTGACGCCGTATCTAACGACTTGAGGCCGTGACTGACGTCTTGACGCGTATCTGACTACTTGACGCCGTGGCTGACCTCCTGACGCTGTGCCTGATATCTTGACGCCGTTTCTGACGTCTTTGCGCAGCGCCGCGCCGGTGCTACGGTTCCTGAGCGCAGACATTGTCCAAGGCAGTCCGCTGACGCTCCATAGAGGGGGGGCTGGGTGACATGCGGCGCGCTCTCTTAACCAAAAAAAGAAAAGCGTCGGCTTGACGTTTGTGATGCCTTGCCGCAGTGTGTATGATGACTTAACACAGCATACGTAACGACATGACGCCGCATTCTAATGACCTGATGACCTAGTGGCACCGCCCGCCTGACGTCCAGCGGCGTGTGCGTGTGGGCTTGCGCGGCCCGCTGAACCCCTCCCCTCCCCCCCTCCCCGCCGTCGTCGGCAGGCATCCGGCTGCAGGACGCGGCAGGCAAAACTCTCGTCGGCACTGGACAGCGTGCGGCTGCGGCCGGCTCACGAGGCGCTGGACGAGGCCAACCAGTACCTGCAGCAGTACGGCTCGTTCAGGTCAGGCTTCGGCCGGGTCTCACGGGGCAGGTCTGTCGCGTGGGGCCGGCCCCAGTGTGGCAGCTGTCTCGCTGACGCGCGTGCGAAAATGACGCCCCATCCACGGAAGAGATGGTGGGGAGGGGCGGGCAAGCTCGAAGTTGTTCGCTTTCTTCAAGTATAGGAAGAGAACGGGTGTTCTGTCAGTGTCATTGCAACCCCACTTTCTGAGAATGCCGAATATTAACCTCATAGCGACGTATGGAAAGAATCGGCTTCGAAATTGTTGCTGACACCGTCACTTTCTGAGACTTTCAGTTCCACTGTCTTTGTTTCCCAGCATTGCCGTAGGAGAGAAGGGACGGCTGCAGAGGGGAGGTGCAGCCGCCTCCCCCGCCTCTCTCCGTTCTCGCTCTGTGCCGTTCACTGGTTCTGACGCGCGCCTACCGTGCACTGCTGCTCTTCTGTCAGCGGAGCTGTCCCTGCACTTGACACCCCGTGCACCGCCGTGGCGAGGCGCGCGGAACTGTCTGAAGAGTGGCCGGCGGGATCGTGACCTGCGACATCTCTCGGCGCCGCCAGGTACTATCTGTTCCTGATCCTCTCCGGCCTGGTGCTGATCGTCACCTTCTGCCTGGTGATGGGGCTCTTCTGCGGCCTCTGCGGCCGGCGGCCGGGTAACGTCTACGGTGACGACACGTGCAACAAGGGCGCCGGTGCAAACTTCCTGCTGAGGTGAGGCGACTTCTCTGCTCCTCTGCCCCCCTTTTCTGGGCCCCCTCTGGTCTGAGGCCCCCCCCCCCTCCCGCCGTACTACCTGGACGTGGGTCTCGCCGGCCGTGCGGTGAGAACGGACACGGGCTATTGTGGACTGAACGGCCCGCGTGTGGCGCCGCCAAGAAGTGCCAGCGGCGTGCCGTGGAAGGCTGAGGGCCACGTCGGTTGATGGTTTTAACGCAGCCAACTCGCTTCGTATTCCAGTTTAACAAGTGTGTTCGTTTGCCCGTGCGGCATCACAGCAATGTGTTGTAGTAATGCTTTGTGGTGCTCATATATGCGTTCTGGGTAATGCGATCTAATCTCACAACAAAGCAATGTAGCAATGCGATTGTAATCAGAGCATACCAGTTGTGTGTTAAAGTATGCTCAGGTACTGCGTGCACATAACATCATCACACACATACAACACATAACATCAGCGTGCACCTGGTTTACCTCAAGCCCTGTTGTTCTGGCGTCCTTTCGGCAGTGGTGACGCCTCACGGACGGTGGTTGCGAGAATAAGCTTTCCAGCCTGTGACACCCGTGTGACGGTTGTTCTTGCCGGGCCGGACATGACGTGCACGGCCCGCCGACAGCGCCACCTTCTTCTTCTTCCTGTTCGGCTGGCTGGTGCTGCTGCTGGTGACGGCCATGTTCCTGGTGGGAGGCCTGACCCAGTTCTACCTGTGCGCCGGCCTGGCCGAGCCGTCCTCGCCCGCCGGCGGGCCGGCGCTGCTCGAGGCCGTCTTCCCGGCCGACGAGCTGCTGCCGCAGCTGGCCGCCACCGGCTTCGACCTGGCCGACGTCATCAGGTCAGCAGCCGGGGACCAGGGGGGCCGGGCCCTTCATGCCTCCACCGACCCGCTGGAGGCATGGGGCTGCCTGCGGAGGGCGGGGTGGAGAGGTGCGGAGGTGGAGCGGGGATATGCTGGTCGGGACACGGTGTAGGTGTGTTCGACCTTCTAAGTGATGCCAAGAGTGAGTATAAACCTCTAGCTCAAAGGATGATCTGTAGGGAAAAGAGTCTTTCAAAAACACACACGCCGCGGTCAATCTGTGCTTCGTCATCGTGCCATGACGCTCCTGCAGGCTTTTTAACATGTTTCGTCGGACTTAGGAGTCATGCGGGTCCACAACGTGACGGTTCTTGGAGCTGCTGGCGAAAATCTGGAGACGGAAACTGGCTGCACTCATGACCGTCACTGGTTACTGTTGGTGCAGGAGATGTCACCAGAACCAGTCGATCTACACCGTGCTGCACCTGGAGCCGCTGTACGACCTCTCCGAGCTGGGCCGCTACAAACAGCAGCTGGGCATCGACGAGCAGCTGGATGCCCTCCGCAACCAGATACAGGTTGGCGGGCAACGGGGCTTCGTTTCCCACAGAGTCGGATACAGACCAGTGACGGTGTGAATCGGCTGGGCTCTGCAGGCAGACACAGGCCGGGCGGCTTCAGTGCCTTGGTTGTATGCGTAGGCAGAGTTGCCGAGCGCAGATTAGTTGGTGCGGTGAAGTGGTTGCCTCGCACTTGGCACGCGTTAGTGGAGTGAAATGTGTTGCATTGGTTGACAATTTTTTATGTTGCCTGCAATCGTTGAAAGATGTATTTCAAACTTTTCGAATGGGTGGATTTGGGAGGTCAGAGCTCAGTCTGAGCAGTGCACGTTGGGTGACTCCTGTCCCTTACCATATGGTCGTGCAACTCCAGGTAAATGGCAGAGTTTGTTGCCGAATGTATAACATGCCGCAACGTTCGGCACGGTCTGTCCTGTGCTCTGACGTCGTCTTACCTTTAGCGCGACCGCTGCCACCGGCCGCAGGCTATTCCAGTCAAGGGCAAATAGCGAGCGCCTTTTTCCAAAAATTTTCCTAAATCTCGAGCCACCACCCAAAGCTTCAGACTATACGCACGCTTGTGCACGACAGGGACCATCCGTCGTACCTAGTCCTGTCTCGTGAGTTTCACGCCCGGGCTGGTCAGACCGGTGGGGCTGCTCTGACCTGTCCACTGGCGCTGAAGCCGCTGACAGTCACGCCCCCCCCCCTCCCCTGTCGCGAGGGAACCCTCACCGGCATGACCCGGCCCTGCTGCAGGTGGACACCGACGTCGAGATCCTCACGCCGCTGGGTAAGGAGCAGCTGTACGAGCTGGCGCGCTCCGACGTCGCCCGCATCAACTACACCGCCTTCACGCTCACGGTGAGCGCCCCGCGGCTGCTGGTCGAAACCCTGTGGCGACCATGCGGCAACGGTTCTCTCAGCGAGAGCTGGTGACATTCTTTACTCGTTTTGCCCGTATCGCTGATGGACATTCCTGGTGTCCTCCCTGGAGGGCTTGGTGGATGGCCTTTGAATTGAATTTTGGTTATTATTTGAAATCTCCGAGAGCTGGCGATGCTGTTGGCATGGCCGGTGTCGGATGTGCGGCGAGTTGCCTATTAAATTTCGGCAACCCTGATCTGGGTGGCGACGAGTTCTGACCCGGGCCCGGGTGGACCTCTTCCGTCTGTTTCTCAGCCGATCTTTGACCTTGACGGTGATCCCCTGATCTGGGCAGTGACCCCGGACCAGGGCGGTGACTTCTGACCTCGCCGGTGACCCATGACTGGAGCGGTGGGTCCTGGCCATGGCAGCGATTTCAGGTGGATGGTAACTCCTGACATGGGTGGTAACCCTGACCCTGGCTGACCCCCTCCCGTCCGTTGACCGCGCAGCTGGAGGACCGCATCACGGCCGTCGAGCTGGGTCAGATGGGTGCCGCGCTAGAGGCGGCCGCCAACCTGCTGCCGCCGGCCGAGCGCGCGGCGGCCAACCGGCTGCGCAACCAGGCCACCATCCTGGGCGCCCAGCAACTGGTGGTCGACCAGATGGCCGACATTGTCGTCTCGCTGAGGGTGAGCCGCGGCCCGCCGCGAGAAAACGAACCGGACTGGAGTCGTGTTCGCTGGTGATGACCGCGGGCTCGACACGGACCGTTGACGCTAGTGATACGGTGACCACTGTTGCTGTGGTGTCATCGAGAGCTTTGTTTAGGATGCTGTGGATAATGCGCCAACAGGGCCTACTCAAGCACTGCCTCCATACATCTATCGTAGCCAGAAGGTCGTCCCTTTGTCCAAGCGTTCTTGTACATTTATGATGAACCGTTGATCTAGACACATCCTATGTCCATAATGCATCAGTCACTTCATGATAGCCTCGCACAACAATGTTCGTTTTTGTTTATGCAGTATGGGCTGCATGACTGCAGTTGACGCGCCCTTAAACTCTAAGCCACCACGGCTTGTTTCTAAAGCCGCCATACTCTGCGTGGTTAGTGGAGGCTCCCGATCCACATCGTGTCACTATCTTTTTACGTGTTGCCGCACTTTGTGGCTCTGACTGCTGAGCCAAACTGACCTCTCCCTCCCGGTGGGCAGAACGCCACCGTGTCGCTGCAGGAGCACGTGCGTTTCAACCGCACCAACGTGACGGAGGCCGTCCGGGAGCTGATCGACCAGGCGGAGTCGGCGCAGCAGTACCTGCGCACGCGCGGCGGCTCAGAAGTCATACAGGTCAGTTTCGGACGGCTCAGAAGTCACATAGGTCAATATCGGGCGACTCACAGGTCACACAGGTCGGTTCAAGGCGGCTCGGGGATCGTACAGCTTGGTTGGGTGGCGCGAAGTTATAAAGTTCTGTTGATGTGGTTCACAGGCCATCTAAATCCAGGCTCAACAGTCATGTAGTTCAATCTCTGACAGTAACGAAATCCTATAGGCTGGCTTCGATGACCGAAAGGTCATATAATTCAATCCTGTGTTGCTTCGAGGTCATTCAGCTGCTAGTCTGAGGCAATCCGGTGCCCTCATTGATCGGGTCGTGTTGGTTCAGCAGAGCTCCCGCGGGCGGACTGTGGCGATTCCTTTCTCGACAGGGGGTCACATATCTGACCTCCGTGAGCTCGCAAGATTTACAAGAGGTCATTTGGCGGCGACAGTCATGCTCAAACAGCCCGAAGCCAAACCGTCTCACGTTTCGTCGCTCCCGTCAGAGATGGTGACACCAAGTATGCAGATGATCGTGTGCGCGCGTATTGAGCGGGTGGCGTCAGCCGTCCCGGGACTGACGATGTCGGCTCGTCATCAGCTGGCGGACGAGTACGCGGCCGAGTTCCTCATGCACCTGGACGAGTTCACGGCGCGCGTGGAGGGCGCTTCCGACGCCGGCTGGGCCGCTGCGGCCCGCTCAGCACGGCCTACAACGCCACGTCCGTCACCCTCTGCAGCAACGTCGTCTACCCGTTCGTGAGTGCGGCTAGCCAGCAGGGAGGCTTCGGTGTTGAGTGGGATGTCGTGATATTTGACATCGCAAGCCGTGTGAAAGAGAAATGACACCCTTGACTATATGCAGATGAGCGAGGTGGACGTTTTCAGTGTGAATATTGGCTCTGCTACTTATTTAGTAACTTTATACTGATTGTGCTATTTCTGCCATCTAAGTAGAAGGTTGCTGCTTAAGTTTGATATGCCTGGCCCTTAACTGTAATTTGCTGTTCAACTTTGCTATGTTTTTATGTTAATGCTACGTGTATGTTTGACCATTTAAGTTCGTGGTTTGCCTAGTATCATTCACGGAACGCTGTGGTGGCCGTCTCTGACCGGATCCCGGGTCTGTGTCGCATGTCGTGGTCGCTGTGTCTGAGCGGCGTGTCAGCTCCCTGACGCGAATGTCCGTTGTCCAGAACGGCTACTGGGCGTCCCTGGGCTGGTGCGTGCTGCTCTTCATCCCCTGCGTGATGGTCAGCCTCTGCCTGACTTCGCTCTACTACACCGCAAGACGAGCCCTACTCGAGGCCTTCGTCGACAAGTGAGCACAGAGAGAGAGGAAGAGAGAGAGAGAGAGGGAGAGAGAGGGAGAGAGAGGAGAGAGA